GCCTTTACTTTAGCCCACGACATCTGATGACAAAGTTCAATGACTGAAACAAGCAGGTAAAACCATTGAGGATTAAGTCATATTTTTCTGAACTCCTTCTCAGTTGCAAGCTTATCCAACTACCACTGTCCTGAGAAGCCTGCCTCTGGGCTACAACGGGAGCAGGTTGGAGTGACATAGTAGTTGTTGCAGTTATAGTGATAGAAAGCTTGGCGATGCCCCTGCCTGTGTGAACAGCGTCATTGGTCACGTGAGGCAGATGCACAGTCTTGAGTTTCGCTGTCTTGCTCTCCTTGTTTCCTTTCGTTATGTCACCCTTGACCCCTTGCGGAGAGCACTTTTTCACCTGCCCTCCCTCTTGGTTGCCAATGTACGCACATCCTTGAAGACAGTCTTCTCCTCCTAAGCAGGCTGAGTTGGTGCCTGCTCTTCCCCCTCTGCCACCCCCACCCTGTTGGCTGTATGCACCCTGGTCAGGCTCTGTGATCACCTGCTCCAAGTCTTTTTTTTTTTTTTTTTTTTTTTTTTTTACTAGAGTGTGAATTCCTGGAATACACATACCATGGCTTTTATGTTTGTATTCCCATGATTGGCTCAATTAAATGAATGCACTTGAGGGCGATGGTTAAAAGTCAAAGAACTGTTCTAGTTCAATGTTCCTCCAAGTGTGATCTGAGGAATAACCTCTATTGGAACCAAGTGGGCAAACTATCAAAAATTTGGACTTCAAAGCCTCACTCCTTAGATTTCACTGTGTTTAGGATGTGAGGGCGATCTGGCTGCGACATCTGTCACCCCATTGGTCACCAGGGTTGATTCGGCTGATCTGGCGGGCTAGACAGGTGTCCCCTTCTTCCCTCAGTGCTCCGGGTGCATCCCTCCCAAAGCTGTGCACTTGGTCAAAGGGGACGACCACCCCCAATAGAGGAGGACCATTCCTCCATCAGAGGTACACAAGTAGCTGCGCTTCCCTGCTAGAACCTCCAAACGAGCTCTCAAGATTTCATAGCATTTGGACATGGCACTCCAATTTCGCACTTTAGAAACCCAGTGCCCCGTGTAATTCTGATGAGCACTACTAGTTTCAGGGCCGCTGCCCTGCCGATCCAGCCTGAGAAGAGACAGCAGTGGCAAGACACACACAAACCCAGGGTCTCCAGCTCTCGTTCCACCTCCTTCCCACCTCGCCTGTGTTCTCACGCAGCCAACTCTGAGCATGGCAGCCATGTCTTGCCTAGAACCACTCTTCAGCCCTTTCTACATGTTGTTGACCTCAATGTGATAAACCACCAACCTGGCTAAAGGGCCTCCTTAGTTTCCTTCTATTTGCAGTTTTACTGAAGGAAAGGTATCAAGATTTCAAAATCTGGAGTACCCAATTACAGCATGGTTCATGGAGACAAAGCCAGCCAGTCCTAAGGAACACACTCGAAGTAACCCAGGAAAATAAGGTGAGTTGGTCTTCATTCTCACACACTTCCCCACTTACTCTGGAGTCCTTTTGGGACATCTAATGTGTCAATAAGTATAAATCTATGAGAGAAATAAAACCATTGTACAATTAGCTCTGTACTTCAACACAGCGAATGATAGCTTTTCCCTATTAAGAATTCCTTGCTGGAAACTAAACTATGTGCAAATGACAGTCTCTGTGACCATCAGACCAAACAGAATGAAAAATTTCACCATCCAAGTCTAAATCC